GCCTCGGCTTTCCTGTTGGTCCTGCTCCCTTTCACCATCTATACACGGATGGCACGAGCGAACCGTCTCATTAGCCAAGACCTTATATGGTGCTCAATTAAGATTTTTGCCGGTGTTGGGTAGGTAAATCCACATAATGAACACGAGTTGGCGACTCGACGGAGGAGAGAAAAGGCTTTACGAGTACATACACGGAGAAAGTTATAGGTACATAATGCATGGTCTGCCCAGTCTATTTTTTGCGATCAATTTTGTTTGTTTGTCGACTCATGCATTTCTCAGAATTCTGACCTAGAATTCACGTGTGAAAGTATTCAAAGTATGATTTTCTATAAATGTAGAATTTTTTGTTTAATACCTAGCTTTTAAATTATATATTTGATTCTCAACATTTTACGGCGCTTCTAGATATTGTATTTTAATCCTCTAGAGCTGACGGTAGATTTTTATTGGACTTACTTAATTATATAAATCTCTTTGTTAAAAATATCAAATAATTCAATTTTCTTTATGTCACATCTACAAATTTGAGTTATTCTTATTAAATTATACTTAATATTTGTTTTTTTTCTGCATAAGTTATGTCATTTTGGTTTCTCAAAATTAATTAGTGCCCTTTAATTAACATAAATTAAATGGGTCTTATATGTACATAGCCAAGCGTCAGTAACAGTGTTACAAATGGTGTCAGCTTCAAAAAGTTAATATATCTAGCCACAATATTTTGCTAAAGCAGTAATTTTACTATTTAATACAATAGAAATGCTTTAATTTCTTTTTAATCTTTACAGAATGTGTGAGTCACTATAGTAGCACCGGAACAATGTCATATTTCAAGAAGGAATACAATAAAATATAAATTATAACAAATTTGACTAATTCAAGGAAAAACTATTTTAAAAATAACCTCTCGCCTTCTAAAGATCAACGAACTTAATAAACGTCTAAATCTCGTTAACGTATAATTATTAATTAAAATATCACACGATAGTGAGCAGTTATTTTATGTGGAAGTTCCCACAAGAGCAATAGTTGTAATTGGCATCTCGTCAAATATATAATACTCATCCGTGCATTCATGGTCTGTCTTCTCCATGCGACTCGCAATCCGGTACTTGCTCTTGTTTCCATCACAGGTTCGTGTTAAGTCCAAGAACCATGACCGGCTTAAACTCCATTCTCAATGTCTCGCGACGGTAATCTCAAGACGAAGTTTATCTTGCTGCACTGTGCATAACGACGAACACAATGGAATGCTATTCATGCTCAGAAGATTAAAAACATTAACTAAATTTATTGCAAGTTTCAACATTCGCTGCAATTCTAAAATACTGCGGATATTATATGCTAACGAAAGAAGAAACTAACATTTCCTGGTTGATTTAAGAAAGATTTACAAAGTAACATAAAAGTATTTTTTCCATAATCTACATTACCTACGCTTTTTCATTATGAAGTTCTTTAAAAAAATCCTGTCTACTCTATATTATAGTTTATAAAAATATATTTTGAAAATTTTTATAATGTAAAGTATTAAATATATAAGTAATATTACTAGGGCGTTAATAAAATCCTATATATACATTTTAGACTCTTTAGAGTTTTGGACCGTGTTACTCTGCCGTATGCGCTACCGTACAAATTGAACATTTCGCTTTTTCCCATGGATTATTGCGTCCAGGTTTGTGCTTCGAGTTTCAATTTGTGTTTCAACAAGCTTCACTTGATAGTCGAGGTTGCACGTTTTCCGTCGCCCCCGTTAGCTCCGCAACAAAAGCATTGGTCTCTAACTATTATTCCAGAACGTAGCACGTTCCACTGGCTTCCATCTCGTGGTCAAAATCGCGCGCGTATGTGTGGTGG